ACGAAAATAATATTTATTTATATCAAATGGCAGGCGTTTTGATGGTTGCCATTAGCACTTTAGTTAACTTCAGGCTTCACAGAGTGTAAGGAACATCAAAGTGAAAAGTCGAGATTGAGGAAGGGGGAACAGAAGAGTGTTTCAAAGACGAAGGTAGAAAGGGTAGAAAAAAGGTGAGGTGAGTACTGTGGAAGTAGTCGAATATGACATACAGTGAGGTGATGCTAGTTAGAAGCCTGAAATTAACTGCCGGTTTACAGCCTTTTTTGCCTTATGAGCATACGTTGCCCAGGGTGCACCTCGTGGAGGTAAGTCTATCGCACAACCCCACGAAAATAATACAAGGCCGATTGTTTTAAAAATACATTCGTGATATTAATTTTTACTGATAAATTATGAGTAATATTTCATTTTAGATGAAGTTCGTTGCTTTGGGCAATGCTGCACATCTTCTAGAGGCAGGTAATTCGGATTTAGACGAATTCTAAACGCATACACAACAAGCAGTTGAGAATGAAAATTACAGTCAATGTTTTAAGTTAAGTCTAAGCCTTTCGGCTTACTATACTTACACAATCAGTCCTCCTTAGACATTCATTTTATCTGGTCATTTGAACGGTCGATTAGTTAGTCTCTTAACTATCAATTGACCAGAAGATCAAAATCGGCAAAGGTAATAACAAAACATATGAAAAATGGAACAGTAGCTATGAGAAAATAATTGTTCACCCCAACATGAAATGTCTGTTACTGCAAAGGGGGATTTTGATTTATAATTTGTGCAAACATTAGTGTAATTGCAAACATTACATTAAAGATACCAATGAGAAAACGTGCATTTTGAAAGCAAATTTGTATATTATTTGTGTTTAACTTATATATAATACAATATGATATAATTTTTGCTATTATTTGCAACTTTGCTAAAGGTGTGCTATATACATCTGAAAATTTAGTAATAGAATGGGACGAAGCCTGATGAAATAGGAGAATAATGACAGAACCACCAATTTGGTTCCCGAATCTTTAGGAGATCATTCTTATCCTGTGGGGTCAGTCGGGAAGGTAGACATTGTCATATTAAATGATAATACATTTCAAACATACCTGGACATTTATCTTTCAAGTTCTACATTAGTCAAGTTGGCAACAGCACAGTTTGTCTGAAATTGTTTAATCTGATTCTAGTAACCCGTAATGAAGTACTTTGCACTCCACATACATGCCACCAGGTGCGTGGAAGAAGTTCTCCAAAGGTCATCTCCAACTTGGCAAAGAGGAGTGAATGGGTGGTTGAATTGGGGAAGCTCGTTGTTTCTGCTGGGAAAGCTGATGTTGGCGGCACCCCAAGTTGTGCTCTCTTCGATTTGCCCATGTGCATCAGGCGCAATCGATGAGTTGACAGTGGCCATGAGAGCCACTGCAGTTATCAAATTCATGATCAGATTCAGCGAGGAATTTTAACAAGTCATTACCAAAGTGTGAAGGCCATCCAACCTCTGAAATTCCCATCACCGTTTTATAAACTATGAAACTAAAGTCGCATCTTCGGAATGTTAGCTCTTCACAACGCTGTTCCCTAAAGGACCTTTTGTAGTATCCCTGCAGACCTTCCAGTACAGCAGCTCCAAAGTAGCAGATGTACAGTGTGCCACCGACATGCTGATAATCGCATTGCTACTTTGTGCACTATTTGTGCGAATAGAGACCACTTCCAAAGCGTGAAATTAAAACTTGACAATTTTTATTAAATTCTTCGTCGATTCATCTGTTAGACACACGTATCAAAAGGTGACAAGGAAAGAGAAGCGTTTGCATTCTCAACTGAGGGTGAGGGAGAGTAGGAGAAAAAAGATCATCATGATCATCAATACTGGATGTTAAAATTATAGAGCAAAATGGAGAAGCGCAGAAAGAAAGGGAGGATAGACGAAATTAAGTTGCGAGAAAGTAGGTGGAAGAAGGTAGAGAGAGAGGAGAACCCCTCAAACCAAAGAACCAAAAGTTGGGTTATGACGGCAAATAGAGGGGCCGTATTCTTCATATTGAGCTCGAGTGTGGCACGCGGTATAGAACTCGGCCTACAAAAAAAGAAAGGATAATTCCAGAAATATCATGGGAACAGATGAAGAGAGCTTGACGGTCTTGAAAACCTACTGTGCTGGCTAAAAGAGAACCACCAAACCAAACTGCGTAGCGTTGCATTTTATGTGAAACCACATTCACTTCAATTGGTGTTGGCTACAAAAAAAAAGATAATAAAATAATTGACTTAGCTCAGACTTTTCATACAACACTGAAAAAGAAGCGGTGTAAATCATCGAATTACCTTCATTCGCCCACCAGTTAGCTCTTCAGTCAGTTTCAACCTAGCATCCACAATGCCCTGAATATCTCGTTGAATACGCTTATCCAGATTCTTGAACATTGAACTACCCCCAGAAAGTACGATGTTCTACATATTCAAATAATAAAAAGAAAGTAAGTAATCGAAAGTTGCTTAAAGAAGTAAATTGATAAAATTACTCCATAAAGACCACGCCGAGAATCAATTGGAGAGTTTTGAATGACATCTTCCACAACCGAGCTGATCGATTTGGTGTAGTCTTGATTAACAAACTATAAAAGAGGGCAATTTACAATTAGGACATTCGACCAAACAAGTGAAATGGGCAATTAAGTAAACGGGGATTACCTCAGGATGAAAGAAGACTTCAGGACCCAGAAAGCGTTCATAACCAACATCAACCGTGACAGGAGAGTATTTAGGATGCTTTGTGACATCTTTTACAGACAGCCACTTTTGTGGATCCGAGTCGTATTTAACGAATTCCTTGTTTATATCTTGGCAAACATAACAGTAACTCTCCTTGATTTTCTTTGCAACTTCCATAGAGAGCTCTGGGGGAATTCCAGTTTCTCTTTCACGGAGAAGTTGCTGAATGAAAGAGGTGATGTCCCGACCAGCAATTGGTATGTGTTTTATGCAAGAGCCGACCACATAACCGTCGACAACAGGGATGATATGAGTGACACCATCGCCTGAATCAATGACGGTACCTGTCAAAGAACGCTTTCCGTCCTTCTTGGAGCCCCAAGATGCAATTAAAGCTAGAGTTGCCTGAAAGCCAATAAATAAACAGTTGAATACAATCGAAGTAATATCTGTTTAATTAGAGAAAAAAGCGTATTTGCCTGCATAGCAATGTAAAGGCCAGGAATATTAAATGTTTCAAACATAATTTCGGCAAGGTATTCACGGTTCTCTGGTGTATTTAGAGGGGGTTCAGTCTAAAAAGAGCGAAGAATTAATACCATTGATAATGGTAGCGTGTAAGACAACATAGAAAAGATTGATTACCATGAGGAAGTAGTGGTCCTCAGGTTCAGCTCTAAGGACTTTAAAAATAACTTGTTCCATATAACGTTGCATCAAATCCCAATCTTCGATAATACCATGGCGAATTGGCCACTAAATTAAAAAAAGAAAGAATTATTAAAATAAATTTCGGATGACAATAAAAAAACCGAAAGTGGAATAATACCTTAAGAGAATAGTCATTTTTTCCGTCAACTTCGATGGCCTCATCACCGATGAAGAAGTTTAGATCGTCTAAACCAGTTCCAAGACGACGGGACTCTCTGTTTCCGATTTTTCCGTATTCCTTTACCGCGATACAAGAAGGAATAATACACTGCGGCTGAACATTGGCAGCATAACCTATTTTGGAATAGCTGAAGCACAGAAAAAACTATTAGCCATTAGAAATTGACATAGGAATTTACTATTAGAACCACAGAAATAAAGGCAGAAATTTTGTTGAAACACACTTGATGTTTTAGCATTTATAAATTAGTGTACATAAAATAAATGCGGCAATAACAAACTTAAACGGTTAAATGAGCTTAAATAATATATATTTATAGTATTACCCTGTTCCATTATCAACAACAACAGCAGGAAGTCTACTTGACATCTTTTAGACTTTTTAACAAGTCACCGATTACTTGGTTTAATAAAACTAAATGTCATTATTACATATATTTTGTTCATTACATTTAAATCAGAAAAGTAGCCCCATTTTTAAGCAAACCTATTATTTTAATATTCTTAGCATTTTAATTAACTCCTTCTGTTATCTATAAATGTGCATAGTGTTCAACTATATAAAAATGCTTTCTTCTTTCTGAATGGAAAAAAATTGGAAAAATTAACTAAATAGTAAGCTTTCCCACTTTCATATATACATCAATTTATAAATTAAAATTTTTCTTAGCAAAATCTATGGTTTATTGGTTAATCTATTTCGATTTAAGATCTAGGCAAGTGGCAATAATTATTATGTAATGACCCTGATATCCTCTGGCTCTCCACATTTACTAGACTAATAAGTAAACTAATTGATATCATATTTCCAAAGTGATGGATATTTTCTTATGAGTCTTAAAATTGACATCTAGCTGGCAAGGGAGCCAATCGTTTTATTCGGAACGTAGTCTAAATTGCGGTGGCCTATAGGCCATCTCCTCTCATTCTAATTTTCCCGACTGTAATAGTGCTTGCTCATTAAATTAACTATGTCTTGTCTTTAGGTGTGCATGGATTTATTTGTTTTTAGGAACAAACATCTAAATAACAATTTTCTAAACCCCTTATCACATTAATGTTGAACAGTCATAGACACCATTCTAATTGAAAAAAAACAATAAATGATTCAATTTTTTGGCTTGAGTTTTAAAACTGAGTAGTAATTCTTGAAGAATTGCAACTTCTTCTCAGAGTGCACGTTTTGTTAATGGATTAAAATAATGAAGATGATAATTCAAGAAACTTTTGGCAAGGGAAATTCATTTGTATTTGTTCTAATTTATTTGAATATACAGTTCCAGATGATTAAATATAACATTAGCTAAGCGTAACTGGATTTCATAACAGGTTGAAATATATTTATTTTATTATATTGTATTACGTGCGCATAATTTTTATTATTTTAGCTAAGGCATTTTACTAAAGAGCAATATTAATGAAAAATGTATAGAATTTCTGAAAATATTACACTAGTATATATGAAGTTAAGATGTAAATTTAAAACTCAAAAATTATATGACCTTTATTTATCAGTACTTCAATTTATTATTATTAGATATTTCATTACCGACTATTTGTAACTGATTTTATACAAACTATAGGTGAAAACACACTTTTACCTAAACTTTGTTTAACTGTATAACGTGAAAATTATATTGCAATTGGTGCATATATAAGTTAAGACGACAGTTAACTTTTCACTATCTCTGTTATCCTGTCGCAGTTGTCATGTCTCTCTGGAAGGAATGCAAGGAGGAACCATGTGCACCCTTTGTTAAGGGAAAACTCTGCGAACTCCCGGCATGTAGTCAGAATTTTGTTGCTCACTGGGTAAGTATACTAGATTGATTTCCTATTCATTTAATTATTTAAGGTCAACGTTTGCAAACCAAAAGACGTCTATATTTGTGACGGCAGCAAAGCGGAGGCTGATAAAATTATTGAAGACCTCATTGCTGCTGGACAACTTCGCAAACTCAAGAAATATGAAAATAACTATCTCTGTTGCACGGACCCCAATGATGTCGCCCGTGTCGAATCAAAGACCTTCATCTGTACCCCTGATCAATATTCCACTGTACCACACGTTGCTCCAGGTGTCAAAGGGATTCTTGGTCAATGGATCTCTCCCGATGGCCTTAATGAAGCTTGCAAAGAGCGCTACCCTGGTTGCATGAATGGACGCACAATGTTCGTCATTCCATTCTCAATGGGTCCCATTGGCTCTCCATTATCTAAGAACGGTATTCAATTGACCGATTCTAAATATGTCGTGCTTTGCATGCGCATCATGACCCGTATGTCACCAGAGGTTCTAAAATATATTGAGAAGGACGGTACGTTCGTGCGCTGTGTTCACTCAATTGGTCTGCCCGAGCCACACACTGGAGTTAAAGTTATCAACAACTGGCCATGCAACCCAGAGAAAACTATTATTACCCACATTCCCGATGAACGCTTGATTATGAGCTTTGGTTCCGGCTATGGTGGCAATTCCCTTCTTGGTAAGAAGTGCTTCGCTCTCCGTATTGCCAGCCGAATTGCCCTCGATGAAGGCTGGTTGGCTGAGCACATGCTCATCATGTCTGTCACCAACCCTAAGGGAGTTGAAAAGTTTGTTTGTGCTGCTTTCCCAAGTGCTTGCGGTAAAACCAACATGGCTATGCTCACACCAAGCCTTCCTAACTGGAAGATCATGTGCGTCGGTGACGATATTGCTTGGATGAGATTCAACGACCAAGTAAGATTGATTAAAATACTCCGTTATTTTAAACAAATATGAATCAAAGTTTAAAAATTGGCTTTTAACTTGAATTAGGGCGAACTCAGAGCCATCAATCCAGAGGCCGGTTTCTTCGGTGTTGCCCCCGGAACAAACCACAAGACCAACCCAAATGCTCTTGAGAGCTGCATGAAGAACTCTGTCTTGACCAATGTTGCTGAGACTGACGATGGTAGATTCTTCTGGGAGGGTCTTGAAGATGAATATGGAGATGTTCCATGCACCACTTGGTTGGGTGAAAAGACCACGACTCGGGCCAAGTGCACTAAACCCAAGGCCCATCCCAACTCTCGTTTCTGCTGCCCAGCTTCTCAATGTCCCATTATCCATCCGAAATGGGAGGACCCCGCTGGTGTCCCAGTTTCTGTCTTCATGTTCGGTGGTAGACGTCCTGAGGGTATTCCTCTTGTCTATGAGGCCCGCAGTTGGGAACATGGTGTTATGATTGGTGCTCAGGTCAAGTCTGAAGCTACTGCGGCTGCTGAATTCAAAGGTCGCCAAGTTATGCATGATCCCATGGCTATGCGTCCCTTCATGGGTTACAACTTTGGCAAGTACTTGCAGCACTGGCTTGATATGAATAAGCCTAACCGTAAGATGCCAAAGATCTTCCATGTCAACTGGTTCCGCCTTACCAAGGACGGCAAATTCGCATGGCCCGGATTTGGTGACAACATCCGTGTTATCGATTGGTGCCTTCGCCGTTGTAATGGTGAAGATATTGCTGAGGAATCTCCAATCGGTCTTCTTCCTAAGAAGGGTACTCTCGATATGACCAATTTGAATTGTGACTGGGATGCAATCTTCCATTTGGACAAAACCTATCTGCTTGAAGACATCAATGAAACAACTAAGTTCCTTGATGAACAGGTTGGTGAAGACCTGCCACAGGCCGTCAGACATGAACTTGAAGAGCAGAAGAAGCGCATTGAGGCTATGTAAAGCCTACATTAGTTAGGAAGCAATTCACTTCTCTTTTTTGTCTATCCTTTTTTCTCTCCCACCCTCCATCGATTAACACCTCCACTAATCAATTAAGCATTTTCCTTCATTGATATTTGATACCTATGTAGCATTGTCGCTCCAATTCCTTCCTCCTTTTACAATTCAGTGTGGCATTGTGTTTTCTTCGTTTACATTACTAAAACCGTTGCTAATATTGAACCCATATGGCTTTCGTCTTTTTAATTACGAAATTGTGAAAGTAAAAAGGGTTATTATTAATTAGTGCAGTTGAATACAGCCTGATAAAATTACCTATGAGATTACTTGAAGGACGTCCTTTATTGCAGAAGAGTTTGGAATGGCAGTCATTCGAGGAGACAAAGACACTGTGACCTGTGGAGTTTGATTACGGTGTATCTAGAGCAGTTAAATCAATATTTTTCGAGACTAAATCTGAGCTTTAAAAAATCGACTACTGCTTAATTTATAAGTTGGGAATTGCATATTTCGCTTCTAAAGTATCTCGAATCCGAAATTTCACCGTCGCTAATCGTGCCACTTTCAATGCAAATGACTACCATGGTTTTCTCCTTTAAGAAACTAGACGACTTACACTGAGAGTTATATTTGCCAAAAGTTTTAATGCTTTTCTTTCTCATTTTGGCATTTGCTTGTGGGAAAACTCGCCTATGAAAGTGATGCCTTTCGTAATTTGATTGAAATAATAAGCAACGTGTGGATTAAATTTATCCCGGTTGTCAAGTTAGTATATTATTACCTAGAGACACCAGTCCGTCCATTCATCAACCTACCTTCTTTTAGACGCAAAATTCATGGTGCTTTGCTATTTTGATTAAGTCATCTATCAAAACAAATCACAAACTTTTGCCCAATAATATGGCCCAAGTTGACAATCGTCTGTCTAATGTGCGCTAAAGACCACTTTACTTCCATTAATTTAAACAATCACAATTGGGCCAAAAATTCAGTGTTTTAAGCTAAATTCTACCCATTGAATGGATAATGACAAAAGGTAGCTTTCTCAAATTCAATATGAAACGAAGACGTCGAATTAAATTTCATCTTCCAAGTGAATAAAAAATGTTGATAATTAGAAGAAAATGGAGTATACTTTCTCCACCTTGACGTCGTTAACAGATTGAATTACCTTACCGATTTTAAAGTGAGAATGCTTTTTAAGTTAGACTTCACCTTGATCCCCATGTAATTGTGGCTATATTTACAGCGTTTTTTGAAGCATGCATTAATTTCAGATCAAAACACGTAACTACTGTTTACAATTGGACCGAGTGAAGTATTTTCAATGAGCCTCAATTTTAGCCCCAATTCAGAAAACCTTAATCCACATTGATTTCTTACAGCATTACGAGGTAAATCAGGCACCAAATGGCTCCTTGCACCAGAAATGGAGAAACAATCATTTGACTGGAATGAGCCATAAAATATTCCCCCCCCCCAACCTCCCCTGTATACTTTGAAAATCTCATCCCTACTTGAAAATTACGCTGTCCTGCAAAATCTCATTTTTATTTGGTAATGAAATCTAGTATAGCGTTTTCTAAAGGATAAAAATAATGCAACCAATGCAATAGAGACATGGTGAGTTGTGTATCGAAGTTTATGGCGAACGCTTTCTACACTCGTTCAGTATGATCTTACTCGTTTTATTCTGCATTTACTACATGTAAATAAAATATAGCATCAATATATACCTTTCTATAATCGCACAAAACCTCTTTTATCTTGTACAGTCCTCATTAGCATACGCATATATAGGGAATTTCCCATTCCATGCGCAAAAGACACTCTGCGACTAGTCTTAGATGAACATCCACCGGCTAGCCAATCAACACACGACAAGTGGAAGCACGTGTGCCATAGCAGCGCTCTCGCGTATCGCAAAAATTGATCGATAGACTCGCTACTACGTCCGACTATACGCCTTATTAGCTCTCCAATTTCCTAGCTGATTTGGCTGTTAATTCTGGCTTATTCTATCGATTTTGAGGAGTATGGGCTGGGGGAATGTTTGTTAAATTTGAATGGATTTAGGTAACAACTCAGTATAATTTGTTAGTTAAAGAGGACATTACAATTAGTGTCATAATATGATGAATCAGATGCCTCTGAATGACTCACTTAATGATTTAGAATTATAAAATAATTCCAGTTTTTCACAAGAAAATCACGTTTATCTGATAAACAAAAGTCTACCCTAAAGACACGCTCGCTTTTATCTCATGCCTAACACAAATTTTCAAAGGGATGAAAAATTCACTTTGGTGACACCTCCGAATTATTTTTTTTTGCTGTTCAGCTTACTTGAGGTCCTAGGGAGCTGTTAGTGAGAATGCGGATTCTAAAGATTAATATTTACATTTTTGAAGCAAGACCTGCTTAATGGTCTGTTAGTGGTTTGAAAGTGTTCTTCTAGGTTTATAAACCTTATGAACCTTATTAGATTCATTTGATGGAAATATTTATCATTGGTGGCAATGTTCAAAGTACTATATCATTAGATTCGTATAGTGTCGCCTCTTCTATCAATCGGTATTTTGGTACGTAAGTTTCAGAGAATGAGATATGCTGTTAGTGACAAAGGCATAACTGAACACGGATTTTGGCCACTTACTCTTCTCCAAATGTAAGTTATTGAAAGCAGGAATTCCTTGCACATTGATTAAATTTAATAGGCATCATAAATTCGTATTAAAAATGATTAATATAAGAAAGCAAAATAAGGAATCGTTCTCATTCCAAAATGAATTATGGATTTTGATTCATAGATCCGTTGAATGTTGGAATCTTCCAGAATTCCTCTTGACAAGAGATGTGGCTACCTGTAACCTGACCTATGTTGAAATCCTATTTGCTACTCCTATTTTGATCGATTTCAAGTAGATGATCACATGTTTACTGGTCTACTAGCACCATGAGCTTTTAAGCGAGTGGGCAAATTTTCCGCTATACTGCCAACACATCCAAGTTTCTATTAAATTAACCTTTTTTCATTATTACCCAGCGCTGTTGCCATGACAACCACGAATATGGGTTCCACACTCTAGAAACAGTTGTTACTTTATAAAGTACCTGTTTCGTGATCCATTCGGCCAAGTAAGTATCAAACGCACAGTTTGATTAGCTGTGCGAAATAAAATGAATAAATGAACGAACTTATTGGACAATTAGAAATTGGCTGAGATCTGACGTGTTTTGAGATTTTTGGATTACCCTATTAACTATTTTTAGAACCTCTTTCTGCTCATAAGTCATATTTGAGATATAAGCATGCAGAAATTGTACTTTACTAAGCGAACTAGAACCGACTAGGTGTGTTCGAAAGAAGGCGATTATTATGGACTTTTATGTAAAGTCCAATAATTTCCTTCATTATATTTTTACCTATCTGGGAATATCAATTCGGCTAAATAATCTCCAGGTTGCTAGAATTTACCTTTTTGTGGGTAATCAGATGTTGGTGGTAAGGCTAATATTCTCCTGGACATAGATAATTAGTGACTAAAAGATTGATTCAATTTTTATGTTAGATAGACATCGTTCATTCGGTAATTTTAGAAGTTCCTTATCTCTGACTTATTTCTAACATCTGAGCACATTCACTAGTCTTCAAAACGAGGCGAAATTCGATGCAGACCACTATGGTGAGAACTTATCAAGTCGCTAACTGATTAAATTACTCTACACAAGTTTACATGTTTAAACAAATTATTAAGAGTTTCATTTTTCATGGATGAAAACCGATTAGAAACAATCAGAAAACACTGGTTGGCATTATCTAAATCTCTTGTCTTCACGGTTCAAAATTTCATTTAAATAATGAAAAAATAATTTTAAACAATGAATTGCATAAAATTACCAGCGCTGTATTACAAAATCCACTACCAATTTTAAATTTGAAAAAATGTTCTTCCAGGCTGCCATTTCTCAAACAACTCGTCGGCGTCTTTGGTCATGACACATTCAAAAACTTGATCAATTTTGATTGCAGGAAATCATGCGATTGTGAGTAACAGCAAATGACTTCAATAAGGTATGAAACAAAAGCGAAAGTCAGAAATAAGTTGGGAATACAGACAGGAAATTGTCTTTTTTGTTTTACTTTACTTCAGGGACAACTTGTAGCCCATATTTGTGAAATCGCATGAAATTTGAAATTTGAGAAATAACATCAATTATATAAAGTTATCTCAACTTTTCAAACTTCAGTGATATGTGGACAATTTATTCGAAAGGCTTTCTATGTTTAACATGGGGTGTGTGATAGACTTACCTCCACGTGGTGCACC